AATTACTCCACACTTTTGGTAAAATACGGTTTTTTTAAAATTAATTTATCAGGAGGAACTTACGACCTGGTGGTGCAAAACATCTGAAAGTGGAGGCAAGATTCCTTCTGAAGATGAGCTGAAGATAAAAGTTGAAGAGAGGTTGAAGTTAGGCTTTTGAAATCAAACACCAAAAAGAAACCTCAAAAAAGAAAGAGGAAAAAAAATGGATCCTCTCAAAGTGCAAACCTGCAAGGTTCTAGTTTGGTTGCCATGAAGATCACAATATTGATCTGTTCCATTTCCAGTCCTGTAAGAGTTCCAGAGCTGATTTGTACTTTCTACACATGGTGGGCTAATCTTTTTTGTTGAAGGTGACAAGTAAATACAGTAGGTCCATGTTACTACCACACCACAGATGACACCAATATTGACACCACCGGACATAATTTCTCGATCTATGCGTAATTGTACATGATTATTTCTCATGGTGTCAAACTTGGCGTCATCTCTAAGTTAAAGTAGCATTTTCCAAAAAGTATGCCTTGACAATTTAATAAATGGAGAACTTGAAAATCATTTATTCAAACAATGCATTCATTGTAAATTTGATATTGATATGTCCTTATTCCTCAAATGACAAAAGCAGGAATAAGCAGAATGTGTTTAGCCAAGAAAATTGTTAAAGCAGATCAGTAAACATAGAACACATTCTAGGTAATGTTAGTTGTTTATGAACATTCTTCTTCATTTCAACAAAGATCTTGAAATTCCAAGCAGCTTATAACATATGCAGAATACAGACTACTACTGGCTAACACCATTGAACATCAATGGTGGTAGTGAAACAACAGAGATGCCAAATGATGCTATGAGCACAGAAAACACATACTGAAATTTACAAACCCTAAGACAGATAATTTTACCAAAACCTAAAACTACCACAGGACAGCAAACATTAAGAGCTTCATTTCCTGGCCTTCTTCGTGGGTGATTTGGGGATCTTAGTCTTCTTCATTGGAGTTTTCTTTATCTTAGACAGAGCAACCTTCTTCACTGGAGGTTTCTTCATGGCAGCCGCTTTAGTCGCCAGCTTTTTAGCCGGAGTTGTAACCTTTGGTTTCTTCACAGCCACCTTCTTCTTAGTCACAGCCTTATTCTTCACTGCTGCAATAGGTTCAGGAGCGGCATCAGCAGGTTTAGCATTGCGAGAGATCTTGAACGAATTCTTCACCTTCGTCAACTTCCCAGAAACCACGAGCTTCTTCAGTTGGCCAAGCAACAGCTTCCTGAAATTGGGCGGCAAATCCTTCTCCTTGTCCTCAATGAACTTCGCAATCGCCACCAGGCTCGAACCAGTCCTCTCCTTCAAGGCTACAATCGCCTCAGTTATCATCTAGGGTTCCAGAAGAAAGAAAAAAACCCAAAATTTAAAATCCGATGAATTCCTTCGAATAAAATGTATGATCAATCATCAAAACAGTCAACAATCAACAGAAATACCTCAGCATAAGGCGGATGAGCGCGAGGCTTCTTAGTGACGGCAGCTTTCTTCGCCTTGCCGGCGGCATCAGGTTTCCCGGCAGTATTGATCGCCATAAAAGGATATGAAAGCAAGGAAGAAGAAGCCTTTGCAAATAACTGCGGATTAAAACGGTTTACAGTAAGTTTTTACAGAAGAAACGATGGATTTATAGGGATTAGAGAGAAGATAGACGAAGAGATGTGACTGGTTGAAATGGGGAGGCGCGGATCGCGAGACTATGAAGAATGGTTTAAATATGAGCCGTTGGATGGAGAGAATCGACGGATGTGGAATCTAAGTGTGTTACTTGATGGCGCGGATCAGGAGCCGGAGTTGATTGGGAAAAGAATGTTTTTCGTTTTTTTTTGTTTTTTACGTTTTCAATGACATGGAATCGTGGATTGAGGGCATTTGGTGTGATCCATTTTCCCTTACCGAAGGTTAGTGAAGTGTTGATGTGACAAAAGTTAGGGCGAGAGGAATTTAAGAATTGAACCATTGTAAATGCTCTAACCTGCCCCCACATTAGGCCACACTTTTGATTGGTTTTAAGATTAAGAGCTTGTTCTCATTTGTTCATGTCATATTTAATTTTATTATGATATAATTTGATTTGATAGTAGTCATATTTATATTTTTTCTTTAATCTGATCAAGACTGATCTAATTTGATTCAAATAAGAATAACTTAACGAGAACAAACTCTAAGACCATTTATTTATGCACACAATCTTAACTACATTTTCGAAGTGACTCTGGTTAAATTTTATATATGTATATGTTTGTGTGTCTATATATATATATATATATATATATATATATATATATATATATATATATATATATATATATAATCATATGACCAACGGAAATATAGAAACAAAGTGATAAATTTTGACTTTGTAAATAATAAACAGACAATTTAATTTGTAATAATTAGTAATCCTTCATTCCATAAATTTTATTTCCAACTGTTTTCTATTTATCCAAAAAAAATCCCTTTCTTTTTTAATTAACAAATCTTTTATCCTAAAAAGATTTTACTACCCATATAGACCACTATCCACTCATTGCCTACTTCTAAATTTACTTTCTCTTAATTGTTTCTCCAAATAGACCATTATTCAATTTTTCTATAATTAAATACCCAAGGGCAAAAAAGGAAAGTCAAAGCAATTTTTAAGTATCTATAGTTGCTCTTCTATTCAAAAGGAAAAGAAATCTGATCCGTTCATTTATTTGTATACTGGATATAGGGTTGTGATGATTTGCTATTATTCATTGGGATTGAACACCAATATTCACGGCACATTTATTGCTTTTACACTTTGGCTAATTGTTTCTCTACCTGTTGAGATCATTATTTTATACCTTTCTCCTTAAATATATCTTACATTAGCTTTTTCAGCAGTAGCGAGAACTTTTAATTTATTTATTTCTACACTTTCATTGATTATTTGATATGTAAATTTTATCTTTTATTTCTATGTCAATATGTAAATAAAATGAATTAAAAAACTTGATATTTTACCTCGGACCTCGGTAATAGAAATGTGAATATATTTAGGCCTCGTTTGGTACACGGAATTCAAACTATGGAATTGGAATTGAAGACTTCAATTTCAATTCTGGTGTTTTGTAGCACAAAAATTATGTGGATTTGGAATTGGTAGTGCAAAAAATGAATTGGAATTGGTGAATTCAATTCTATGGAATTGAATCTCTATGGAATTTTAATTCTAATTCAATTCTAATTCTATCAATTCCGTGTACCAAACGAACCCTTAGGGACAGATACTGAGGGAGTATTATTTATTGAAAGTTGAAAAGCCATGTAGACAATTTTGCTCCACAATTATAGATTTGGCATTAGATAAAAATATGTCATCTTAGAAAAGATATACGAATAAAAAAGTAAAAAAAGTATGCTACGCCTCCCGCAGTAGATTGATACAGCTATTGTTAGATTATTTTTTGGAAACAGTTCATTTAAAAAAAAAAAACTTGATCAATGCTTGATGCTCACCTTAAATAAATAATTAAAGAATAAGGATAATATGGTTAATTTGCTTCACTCTCTTGAACTTAAAGTGCAGTTGACAAGTAGTCAAAGAGTGGCAAGACAGTAAGACTCGAGCTAAATTCTCAAAAACTGCGCTAAGAGGTAACTATGATAAGCATAAGTAAAATTCAAACCAAGACCATCAATGTCAAAAAAAAGTGGCTGCAGATTATTCAAAAGTTGCTGCATATGATATTTATCCATGTGTACTAAAACAAATAAAGTGGCGGTGGAGAGCTGGAAAATGACAAGCTTCTGATTTTTTTCATTGGGTTAGTTAGTAGATCAGACTATATACATGGGTGGTGCCTATTAATTAGCTTTAGAAGATAAGAAGAAAGAAGAAGAGAAGTTTGTAAAAAAAAGAAATCAAGAAAGTGCCGCAGCACTAATAAGAAAAAAAAATGCAAGGTTTGAGAGTTTTTTCTCTTTCTGTAAGAAGTGAAGTTTTAACATTTGTGTGTTGTAATACTTTTGCTTCTTGTTTTTAACATTTGTGTGTTGTATACTACTTTTGGTTCACTACTCTTCCAACACAAATAAAAGAACCACGAATAGAAAAGTACAAGGATTTCATCATGGAGCTAGCTAGGGTGAATTGTATGCTCTGATGCATGTTGTGGTGTTTAAAAAATAAAAAATGGAGCAGTGTTTACAAAATTTGTAATTAATAAAAACTTGGTGTTAAAATACATCTCAATATTTGAGTTAAACAATACAGGATTCATGATCATTTGTATTCCATAATCTTAGCAAAGTTGGTGTCTATATCGCTCATGGTGTACTCATAATGAATCTGTGGGGTTTTAGTGACACCCGCTTTTGATGAAAGTAGCGGTGCCACTGTCATTTTGGAGCACTTCCGGTGCTTCGTTCGTAAAATTGACGGTTCCTAGCCACACTAACCCACCCCCTAAACCCCCCACCCTACCCCCACTCCAACCCCGCAGTAAGCTCCCCACAAAATGTGTGGTTATTATATATTGCATAATAGTCATAAATTTTGTGGGAAGTTTACGGCAGGGGTGGGGAGGAGGTGCATCGGAAGTGCTACAAAATGACAGTGGCACCGGAGTGTCACCGTACTTTGGTGTCATTGGAATTCCACCGTGAATGAAGAAAAACACATGTGGTGTTATTTAGGGTAAGTTGTTTCAAATTTGTAACAAAGAGTGAAGGAACTTTTCTTCTGACTTGACTGGTAGGATGTCTACTTTCCAGTACTCATTAGAAAATTCATCCAAGTTTAAGTCCCAGCGAAAGCAAAAGCGCTGACTCTTTAATTTGTGCGTCATTTGGTTCCGAAATGTATGAGACACACATTTTTGTCCATAGCGCTAGAAAAAGTCAAAATATGGTAATTAGTTTAATTTGATTTAGATGTTTCAATACAAAATCTACCCCTATAAATAAGGCAAATATACATATAACTCTAATTCCCCATCTTGTGGGAGCTGAGCTAAGACTATATATAGTAATCAAAGGTAGCTAGCATTCCTAGCAATATAATGGCTTCAACTACCTTTCCAACTTCATGCACCACCACCATCTTCCCTTCCAAAAACTCTTCATCTCTTCCCCATTTCCTACACAAACCCATCAAAACCCCACTAGTCTTTAATGTCAACACAAAACCCCCCACCAAACTACCCCCATGCAGAGCCTCCGACTCCTCCGATCAAAACCCGGGCCCGCAGACCCCAACCCCGAGGGTCGACCGGAGAAACGTCCTCCTCGGGCTTGGAGGTCTGTACGGCGCATATAATTACACAACTTATAACAACAACAGTAACGCGGTGGCGAGCCCGGTCCCGCCGCCGGACGTTTCCAAGTGCGGGCCCGCCACCATCACCAACACCACCGACAAGGTGCCGTACTCGTGCTGCCCGCCGCCGTTCTCCGGCGACGCCGTCGACTACGAGCTCCCGAGCTTCTCCCGCCTGAACGTCCGCCCGGCGGCGCACGCCGTGCAGGAGGAGCAGCTGGAGAAGTACAAGACGGCGGTCCGGAGGATGAGGGAGCTCCCGGACGACGATCCCCGGAGTTTCTACCAGCAGGCTAACGTCCACTGCGCTTACTGTAACGGCGCTTATAAACTTGCCGGCGGCGGCGGCCAGGACTACCAGATCCACTTCTCATGGCTGTTCTTCCCGTTTCACAGATGGTATTCAATTTTGAATTTACTTTCTTAGCTTCTTCGATCAATTCCCAGCTACTTGGTATATCTTTTTTCTATTTGACTATATTTTGTCTCTATTCAAACACTAAACAGAAATGTGGATTGAAAAAGTCAAATACTCCTTCCCCACAAAGAATGAGACGGTTTGACTTTTTAGGAAATTAAGAGAGGGATATTTTGGTATTGACTTTTTAAAAATACCTTTGTTGTGATGGGTAAAAATAGGATGTAATGAGTAAATTATTAAAAAAAGGTATGATATGATATGTATGGTATGAAAAAGTAAGGGGTAAAAGTGGTTTTTTAATAGAAATGTAACGTACTTTACGTGACACAGATTTTTCTAAACGTAACAAACTTTTTGGGACGGAGGGAGTATAACCAAAGAGATTTTCCTATATCTCCTCAAAATACGGCTAATTTATCTATGAGTAAAATATAATGAATTTTCATAATAGGATTATATGTTTTTATTTCTAATATAAAATTATTAGTCATTATCCATTAATTATTATTTAAGTAAATGTTCACCATCATTGAATATTATTACTCTTACTAGATATGATTAAGTACTACATCCGTTCCATAAAAGGATTCTTGTTTTGGCTTTTAGCCAAATTAAGGAAAGTGTAATTTTGGTTAATTTTCTAATTTTGCCCATGATTTAATGGATAAAAGTAAGATGTGATAAGTTGGTTATTAGTAAAAAATATAATGTGATAGGTAGGTTATGAAAAAGTCGTAGGGGTAAATGTAGTTTTTTAATAGAAAAAGGAAGTGCTTTAGAGAATTAGAAAAAAAATGAAAGAGGAAGGGTTTTAAGAAACGGGGGGTGCTATTTAGAAAATATAAAAGTTTAAGTCCTATTTAGAAAATAAAGTCGGTCAAACCTCATAAATACAAACGGGAAAATGATTTTAGGACGTAGGGAGTATTTAACATAGTTAACTAACCATAAAGAATAACACCACCTCCACCATATGTTTTACGGAGTAATATTTTTTGGGGCAGACGAAAAATGAAATGTAAAACGTTATTATAAGACAAAAGTGAAATGTAAAACATTATTGTCAAAAATGAAATAAAGAATGAAATATTGAATATTGCTCTCGTCTTTGAGTATTTGTTAATTTTAATAAAAAAAATCAAAACTGAGCAAATGTTCACATACTATGGGTCTGTTTGGGAATAGCGTTAGAGATTAGCGTTAGCGTTTTGGATAAAATTTTAACGGTGCAGATTACTTTAAAAATGCTAACGCTAAACGCTGCCCGTAGATAGCCTTTTCAAAACGCTAACGCTATTCCCAAACAGGCCCTATATGTTAGGTTTAGTTGAGATTAGTTTAAGATTTTACGAGTGTCAAAAACAATTAAGATCTTATTAACTCATCGTTAAGTATTGTTGAATGTGATTGTGTTTTTGATGTATGACCCTGGCGCCCTAAAGGTACTTGTACTTTCACGAGAGGATATTGCAATCGCTGATCGGAGACCCGACTTTCACGATCCCGTACTGGAACTGGGACAACCCGCAGGGCATGTTCCTGCCGGAGATCTTCGACGAGACGGGGTCCCCGCTGTACGACGAGGTCCGCAACCAGGGGCACCGCCGCAACGGCTTCTTGTTGGACCTAGCTTACTCTGCGGGGGAAGTAGTCCTAGATGCCAGTGAGAGCCAAATCCTGAGGAACAACCTCGCCGTCATGTACCGGCAAATGGTGACCAACGCCCCCTGCCCGTCGCTCTTCTTCGGAAACGCCCTCCGCGGGGAGGGTTACGACACCAGCTCCGGAGGTATAATTGAGAAGATCGATACTCCCACCCTTCACTGAACCCATTCATCTTTCATCTTTTTTGGCTTTCACCAGAATACACCTTTTTTTTATTATGAAGAAAATGACTAAATAACGGTGGGGTTCTAGTGACACCAAAGTACGGTGACACTCCGATGCTGCTGTCATTTCGAGGCACTTTCAGTGTTCCGTTTGTAAAATTGACAGTTTCTATCTCCCCTAAACTCCCCACCCTACCTCCACCTCGGCACCCCACCCCGCCCTAAGCCTCACACAAATTGTATATTGCATAATAGCCACACATTTTGTGTGGGGCTTACGACAAGGTTGGGGCATGGGTATTGGGACGGGGTTTAGGGGTTGAATTAGGGGAGTAAGAACTGTCAATTTTACAAACAGAGCATCGGAAGTGCCCTAAAATAACAGTGGTATCGCTAGTGTCAACAAAGGTGGGTGTCACTAGAACCCCTAGGTGTCACCAGAACTCCACCGATCCAAATAAAGTCATTACAATATATTTCATCCATTTTGCATTGATATAATTAATGAGTTATTTAATTAATTTGTCTCTCTTTTTTTCAATGTTAATGTATTTAACTAGAAAGTCAAATTAGAAAAATAAATCCGGTTAAAAGTTAAAATAAGAGCTATTTCGTTAAACCGAGGGAGTATTAATTACCAAGAATAATAAAATACTCCCTCTGTCCACAAATAAACTTTACATTACGCGTTACGATGTTTGACCGAAGTTATTTTCAAAATATTTTATATGAAAAATGGTGTAGAATTGAAAAATAAAAATTACATATTAAAAATTAAAACTATATCAAAAGATCTACAAAACTAGAGGCCAGGTGACATTACTATATTATTTTATCAAATGGGTGACGAAAATATGCCAACAAAGTAAATAAAGTTTAACCCTGTGAATAGTGAACGTAAAGTTTATTTGTGGACGGAGGGAGTAATACGGAGTACATGTTAATGAATATCCTTAATTTTCAGGGGGTACCATCGAGAGCGTCCCGCACAACACGATCCACCGATGGGTGGGCGACCCGAGGACGGCTCACAACGAGGACATGGGCAACTTCTACTCCGCAGCGTTGGACCCCATCTTCTACTCCCACCACTGGAACGTGGACCGCATGTGGGCCCTCTGGAAGACTTTAGGCGGGCGCCGAGACATCACGGACTCGGACTGGCTCCAGTCCGAGTTCGTGTTTTACGACGAAAACAAGACCCTAGTCAAGGTCAAGGTTCAAGATTGTCTCGAGCACGAGAGGCTCGGGTACACTTTCCAGACAATGCCGGCGCCCTGGAGGGACTTCAGGCCGACCACGAGGAAGAGGGCGAGGGCGAATCAGAGTAGTAGCAGAGTCCTGATTCCCTTGGCCTCCAAAGTCCTGCCAGTGGCCCTGGACAGGACTATCACCTTCAAGGTGAGGAGGCCGAGGGCAGGGAGGTCAATGACTGAGAAGGAGGAACAGGAGGAGGTGCTCGGGTTGGGGTTGACTTACGACGAGACAAAGTCTATCCGGTTTGACTTGTTCATCAACGAGGACAACGGCTTGAAGGCGTTTGAGCTCGACCAAGCCGAGTACCTCGGGAGTTTCGCCAACCTGGCCCACATTCACGAGCGCTCCGGCAGAGACAGCGACGACAACAAACCTAAGACGACGACGTTCAACCTCGCGATCACGGAGGTGTTGGAGGACTTGGAGCTCGAGTTTGACGGGAGCATCACCGTCACTCTGGTGCCGAAGCTCAACGGCGATGACTTCATCACCGTCACCAGCGCTGTCGTCTCACTTGTCGCTTGTTAAGTTACGTATTTCCTTCCGTATAGATATTTTCTTTCCAGAATATCATATTTTTATGGTATATAAAGTATATATCTATGTATATATATATTTAAATAAACATGTTACGTTGTATCGTTATTAATTGAATAAGGGAAAAAAATTCGTACGGCCGAGTAATTAATTGAGGAGTGTTAAGAATGCATGTTGTTGCGGTAAAAAAAGAAATACTCCAGTAATGGTACTTAAAATTATTTTATTCATTAAATAGTACTTAATAATGTCCAGTAATGAGAAATATTTACTTGAATAATGACTAATGCATAATGACTAAAAGTGCTACATTGGGAAGAAAAACACATGTAGTGCTATTTATGGAAACTCATTATGTTTTAGTACTATTTAAGTAAATTCTTCGTAAAAAAATGGATGATGTCGGTAGGCATTGCACTGTTGGCAAGGCAAGAGTGCTCGAATAGTAAAATGACAAAAATCCTCTTTTCGTCCCAAATCAATCTTTTTAGTTTGGCATTGTATGAAGTTTAAAAAGAATGAAATTCTGTGGTAACATTCGAATGACTACGTGCCACTGAGTTAGAAATTTCAGACAAACAATATGGTAAAATGAGCTACAGGTGGTTGGCTATAAATTTCATATCTACAATTAGGGTAAAGATTGTTTGTTGCATCAAGCTCCGATCCGATAATGACCTTGACCCACTATATATTGAGTATACGTTGAACAATTTTCTTTTGGAACCTCAAATTGCACCGCACATTTGGCCTAATGTCTTTACAAACATACTTCGTAGTAGACACGGAACAACATTTTGCATGTCTTCAAAAACATTGGGGTCAAAGGAGGGTGCACCTTAGAATTCTCCAAGCATGGCTCTTTCCTATTTTATTATTAGAAGTACGTAACTCTTTATTTAGAGGTGAACATGATACGATACTAGACGGCCCGGTATCTAATTAACTTGTACCGAACCGATACTACATGGAATATTTTGGTTTGATATGAAATTCGACGCCCGATTTTGAAATATCGGTTATTGATATTTTGGATGTTTGGTATCATTTTGGTACAAATCAAGAGGTATCATTTTTTACCGCTTAAATAAGCATCCGTTTTTAAAAATAAAAAAATTACGGAGTAGATTTTTTAGGTGAGAAAATCCACAAAAATTGTATGCACCTAAGGTGCATGAAAGAAGCACTCATTCTTTCACGCCATATGATATAACTCTCCATAATAAACTGAATCTAAAATTTAATTCATATTTTATGTTCATCACAATAACCCGCACGTACAATAAATCGCAAGAATTGAAGGTGTGAAAGAGTTACCCGGAGTATATATAGGCTCTGTTTGGCATTAGCTTATAGCTTTTTGAAAATGCTATTCGATACTAGCTGCTCTTTTAGCGTTAGTAGTAGTTGCAAACAATGTTCCCAAATGAAGCCATAGTACGATTAATACTCCTTAGCGAGGAAAATTTGCCCGCCTCCGACCAAGTCTTTGTCCTGCCCCAAGAAACAAAACTTTGCCAAACAATCCCATGCGAAGGCCGACGAGAGCGACGGTCCCCCCTATGACAACCCACTTCCAGTCAACTCCGCCGCCAATTCTGGCGGGCCCCGCCACCACGCACGATGAAACCTCGCCGCCTGCTCCGCTTTGCTCCTCCCTGCCGGACGGCGGCGGCACGGCTTGCGCCCGCTGGCTGCAGTGCAACTCCCTTGACATTCTCGTGGTGACCTGTGCCAGCTTGGCGCACCTGGACAAAGGGTCGTCGTCGGATTTCCTCATGTTTTGGTATGATCTGAAGCCGGCGTGGAGTTTCTTGACGGTCCCCCACATGCCGTGGCGGACGCCTAGCCTCGCGACGTCCTTGGGAATCCCCATGTCTTCGTAGTGGGTGAGTGTGACTTCACAAGCCGATGATTGTCCGTCCCCTGTTTGTGATTCCACTGCATCAAAAGTGTGACCGACCGAGTCACCGAACGATTAGTGGTGGGATTTACATTATCAATGGAGTGAACATAAACTATCAAAATGACACAATAAACATTGCAATTTATGTATAGTATTTCTACTCCATCCGTTCTCAAAAACTCTTCATCTTTCATTTTTTTACTTCCAACAAAACATTTCCACTTTCTATTAAAAACCACTTTTACCCTTACTTTTTCATACCTTACATATCACATCATACTTTTTCTCTAATACTCAATCCATCACATCTTACTTTTACTCATCACATCAAGGGCAAAATTGGAAGTCAACTAATATTTAACACTTCCTTATTTTTACACAAAGCCAAAATAGGAACACTTTTATAGAACGGAGGGAGTATAAAAACAGTTGCCAACAAAGAGGTTTTTGCCAATAAAATGCTGATTAGAGATGCCGAAGAAGCATCTATTGAGCAATTACGGAGCATCAACAGAGCACCGGGGTGTGGGAGGCAATGGGGGTTGGGGTCGGATAGGCTCAAAGAGTGTGTTTGGTTAAAAAAATTATAAGGGGAGGGATAATAGAATGCTTACCAGGCCTGATAACCCAACTTGAAAAGTAGACATCCACACGCCTAGGTTTGTCACGCTTTGGCACAGCTGGATATGGAACACACTGGAGTTGGAGTTAACAGGTCATTAGAACATATACAACATGCATTTTTATGTTATGGAAATCCAAAATATTAAACTTAGTGAAAAGTGTAAACGGTTCACTAGATAGAATGCTATAGAGATAGAGGTGCTTTTGAGTTATTGTATCAGTTGGTAATCTTAATCATTGCACTCTAGAAACACAAACCATTGTTATGTTCATAACAGTAATGGTTCTGTTAATAACTTGTACCTTTGTTACACAATAATAAGCTCCTCCAGATTCCCATATTCTTTTGCCAATTATATATTCACGATCACTGCAGAAAAATGGAAACTGCATACAAGGGTTTCAAGTCGTCCAAGTGTTATACATTAGGAAGCATAAGAAATTAGAAGTCTCTATCTTTTACGAACCTTTTTAATCCAGTGAACTATCATGAACCCGTTCTGAGGACATTCATGCAATATCTTGAAGTATGCAAGCATAGGATCCCATTTAAGCCTAAACTCATCATCCCAGAAAAAATCTTTGACAAGCTCTGGAGTAGCATCCTCAAATACAGTTCTGCTCCGGAGAAGTAACCCAGGTGGGTCAGCCTGTGGGAGAAAAAGGGTCGGCTGTTAAATAAAGTTGAGCATACCATGGTCCCATGGAAAGGGTAGAGTATTGTCATTCACTTGTATCATACTTAAAACAAACATGTGTGTGTCTATAACAGGTGCCAAGAATGTCTTGGCAAAAGCATGCCTAAGATTTTTAACCCAGTAGCAAACATAGTACAAATCAAAATTAAAGACTTGCTTGGTAGCCAGAATAAGCTAATTCTGCATTAAGCAGACTAAGTACCAAATGTGCAATTTGTTATTTAAACAACCATCAATTAACATAATCGAATTTTATATATGAAAAGGCATGGTCTTCTTGTTTCTCGAGATGTCACCAAAAGAAAGATGAAAAACTAGTCACTCTTCATACCAATATGGGAGAAAGAAAACAGAAACAGAAATGAGACCCTACATTCTAATGTGTAAGTACAAAACAATCATGTCATTCTTCATATGACAACTGTGTTAGTGAAGCAAACATCAGTCAGAAAATGATGGAAAAGATAGACATCACACACTTAAACGCAAAACAAACCTCAGACTCGTGGCGCCAAGCTTGGTATGTCAGATTTGAAGTAGAGCGTTCCATCATGCATTGCCATCCTATCTCCCCATCTTTGCCATCCAGAAGTTGCAGAAAGTGTTCCAGATCATTTTCGGTTACATCCCCTTTTTCGTGGTCTGCATTTCCAGTTAAGGACCTACATGAGGAGCAAAACTAAATAAAATAACTAATATTCATGATGCAAAAGTAGTACACCATATGTCCCAATGTTTTTGGGTGTTTTCCTTTTTCATCTGTTCAAATTTCATTTGCATGTTTCCATTAATAGAAAACAATATGCAGTTCATGTTGTTTCTCTCAACAAAGTTATCACTTTATTGAAATCCCTGCCCAATCAAAAAATGCATGATAAATTGGAACAGAGACAGTATTTCTTTAACAACCTCAAATACACATACTTTGTGGGTGTTGCTCTGTGCTCATAAGCTGGTCAAAACTGCTTATAAGCTATTTTTAACTTATAAATCAGCTAAAGACGTGTTTCTATGTGCTTGAAAAAAGCTAACTTATAAGCTGCTTGTAATAGAAAAATATGTACGTCTTACCTACTTATTTTAAAGCCAGTTTTTTTCGGATCTCCATTTTGACCAAATTATTTACAAAACTTTCCCTCACCACTTGTGAATATCCCCAAATGACTTATCTATCATTTAAGTCATTTTACTTCCACGGAAGAATATTTAACTTATAAGCAGTTTATAAGTTAAAAACTGTTTATAAATAATAAGCTAATAAGCACCAATATAGAGAAACACCCCCTATAAACACCCCCCATAATGCTCCTTCTAAAATGAGCCACTGGTCCTATTTTAGATGGCATTTCGTTTTACTATCAAGCATTTTTTGTTTGTCCCCAATAAATATGGTTTCTAAAACTATGCATCCATGCTCATATTAACACATATATAGTGAGGGGGATCAAACATGTGACCTTATCTAGGATCACATCACTACACCACAGAGTCATGTGGAAATTGGAGATGCATCATATTTAGGTGCACAAGCAAGAGACATTATATGAACGCTTTGGTTACTTTAGGACAGAAGCCAGCCGGTTTTGAGCAAATGGGTCAGACTTGGATATCCAGTCCAGCCAAGGGACTCTGGGGATTTGACCGGAGATGGCTACTTTCCGGAAGAATGATAAAGTTTTTAGCTTACATTTCGGATGAACAGAAAAAGCATTCATGAGCAAAGCTGGACAAAGATTTCAAAGAGAGCTGTAATATCACAGAAAGAGTAGCTCCTGCAAAGACCTTTGAGGTTCAAGAAGTCCACAAAAATTTAAATACACTCTGGATCATTTCTCCCAAACATTTAATTGCTCTTTTCTTTTGTCTCTTTTTCACCATATGTTGTTGAGATTTGGGTGAAATTTTATCAATTGAGAGAAACTGTTGCTTCAGCCCCTTCACTGGAATAGTTAAATAAATATAGAGCATATCTACCATTGGATGCAAAACATTAACCATAACAAAAAGCAAACAAGCAGAGTATCATAAACATGGTGGAAAAAATGCTTCAAATTAAAACATACTGGATGATATCATCGGTGCTCCTCCTTGCCGTGGTAGTCCAAGCAGAAACCTCTCGATCCGCGGGAGAAGAAACATCATCCGCCACAGAAGTCGGTTTGCGCGACCTGCCACGGAAATTACTCCACAGCCTGCTCCCGACGGAGAAGGCAGAGAGAGCCGTGAAGGCCAACCAGAGGCGGCGAGCACCGAATCCGGGAGGAACCGTCCATAGGATCCTGTTCAGCTTGGACCTAAGACCGATAGCAAGGATTCCGGTCCAGCGAGGGCGCCAGGACCAGCCAATCAAGAGGCCGATCATCACGGCCACCCAAATCGGGACGATGCAGACCAAAATGTCGACGAATGCTTCCACCACAGCCGGCTTATTGACCAGCTCCGCCAATCCCAGCCACCACTCCACCTCCATTCCCTCTCTGCCGATCTCGGAATGCGTGGCGTATTGGCATCAACGGACTTTCTGATCGGAAGGATCGAAGAGATGGCGATGGAGAAGAAGCATTCGATCACAGAGAGAAGAGAGGCCTTTTTCGCTGGAATTTCCTTGATGACTTTTCCTCCTGGATGGCTCAATCAATCGAAAAAAGAAGAGAAGATGATCTATGGATGATGGATGAAGAGAGGATGATGGATGATGGATCAATCACTGTTAAGAGTATTAACGGTGTTTCTTTTGACGGCATCTCGTGAGTGGGAATATGCCTTTCAGGTGCGGTCCGGATAAGTTGGATTCCTCTCATAGTATCCCGAACCTGCTCTGGCCTGAAATTGACTGTTTCTATCTTTTCTAATTTCTCGATAAACTTCCTCACTCCGTCTCGACCCCAAACACACCCCCTTACCCTTTTAATTGTATCCCACACATTAATTTTGACTTAGAGTTAAGTTTTGACTCCAAAATCAAAATTAACTTATGGGGTGCAATTGAATGAGGTGAGGGAATGTGCTCGGGTCGGGTGGGGGGTTTACCGGGAGGGTTAGGGGAATATGAACCATCAATTTTACGAACGGGGCACCGGAGCACTCCCAGGTCATCCTATGACATTGCTGGGCAATCACATGGGAACTGTTCCGATACTAAAAATTAGAATTTCATATTTTTATCTCCAAAATTAAAGTTTGTACTATGATATTATGACATTGTATAATTGCATTCCATTATACCTTGTGCTATTATATATTTGTATTATTGCCATTATACTCTTATTTTGTGGTTAAAAAATATAGAGCTCTTATATAGATTGTTGCTCGAGTGTTTTGTTTTCTAATGCTTCACTTTTTGTGGTTATGTTTATTTTGTTCATATATATGTTAATGTTGTAACACATTCACACTTGTTATGCGTGTGGAGAATCTTATAAGCTCTTGGAAGTCTATTACTCAAGACTTGAGTAATTTACATAAATAAAAATAAAACATAATGATTTTTTTCAAAATAGGATCATATGTTTTTATTTCTCAATGTAGGACCATTGGTCATTATCTATTAGTCATTATTCAACTAAATGTCTAGCATCACTTGAACATTATTCTTCTCACTAGTTATTATCAAGTCTTATTTAAGAAATAAAAAAGTGTAAGTCCTTCAATTTCATACATAGAGTACAACAACAACAACAACAACCCAGTTGAATCCCACTACAGTAGGGTCTGGGGAGGGTGTGTGTACGCAGACCTTGCCCCTACTCGGGAGTAGGGAGGCTGTTTCCAAGAGACCCCCGGCTCAACCTGCACAAAAATATGGAAGGGAACACAGTATAACACGGGTAAAGAGCCAAGTACAAGCAACAAGTACAAGCAATAGCAAAAGATTCCAAACAAACACAACATACTAGAAACAACCTCTACAGCACTGAGCTCCTATCCAGCTACTCTAATCCTAGTTCTCCAAAGGTTCCTATCTAAGGCCATATCCTCAGTCAGGGTGAGGATTCCTAAATCCTGCCTAATAACCTCCCTCCAATTCTTCTTAAGTCTACCCCTTCCCCTACTCTCCCCGATAACCGTAATCCTCTCGCATCTCCGTACAGGGGCGTCAGCATCCCGCCGTCTCACATGACCAAACCATCTCAACCTCGCTTCCTGCAACTTATCTTCCATCGGCGCCATGCCCACCTGACGTCGGATAACTTCGTTCGAAATCCTATCAATTTCATACATAGAGTAAATTGCATAAATGATCCATTATAATTAAGGATATTTCACATTTATGGTGTGTTTGGTTGGAAAGAAAATACTTTTCCAGGAAAATTCTGATTCAATTTTCCTGTGTTTAGTGACATTAATGGAAGGAAAATAATTTAAATTATAAATTTTAAATTTTAAATTTTAAAATTTAAATTCTAAAATCTAAATTTTAAATTTTAAATTCTAAATTCTAAATTTTAAACTTTAAATTTTGAATTTTGAATTTAAATTTTAAATTTTAAGTTTTAAATTTTAAATTTTAAATTTTAAATTTTAAATTTTAAATTTTAAATTTTAAATTTTAAATTTTAAATTTTAAATTTTAAATTTTAAATTTTAAATTTTAAATTTTAAATTCTAAATTTTAATTTTAATTTTTAGATTTTAGATTTTAATTTTTTTAAAAAAATTGAACTTAAAATTTAAATTTTAAATTTTAAGAATTAAATTTTAAATTTTAAGAATTAAATTTTAAAATTTTAGTTTCTAAATTTTAAATTTTCATTTGTAAATTTATAGTTTAAATTTTAAATTTTAAATTGACAAAAATGAAAGTGTTTTGGAAAAACGAAAAAAGTGAAAGAAGAACTGTTTTGAAAAACGAATGGAGTAATAAACAAAATGATTTCCTTGAGATAGTATTTTTGTTCCTACTAAACAACGGAACATATGATTGGAAAATATTTTTACTTGGAAATCATTACACAACTTTAGTCTACCATATAAAATTTCATTGAAGGTCCACATTAACTTTAAACATTTTCCAAGTTTAGTCCTTCATGGCATTAATTGCAAACTAATCTATGATCCTCAAAATGTTGAAATATTGCTACTTTTAGTCCTTTGATAGTAAATCATTTTGAAAATCATTGACGGAAAGATCTTTAAAATTTGCAATACTCAAAATTAATGTGGACATCCATAAAATTTCATATTAACGTGTCAAGTGTCCCTAAGTATCAGGGCCGACCTCAAAAAATTAAAAAAATGAAATTGGTTCGGTCTGAAATTCACATTTCGGGTCCTATTTTATTATTTTAGAATACTTATACTTCTAAATTAATGAAAAATTTAAAAAAAATGAGACCCTTAAATTTTAAGGTCCCTATGCAGTCGGCCACTTTGTACACTTTCTGGACCACCCATGCTAAGTATATAAGATCATTTGTGGATAAAACGAAAAGCATTAGTTACTTTTATCCCCACCATTCAAACACCAAACTTAACATAATTATATTCACAAAAATGTTAGATACAAAGAAAGCCTCTAAACTGAGCTATGATTGCACATTAGGTTCCAACATAGACCGCTTTCAAGATACGATAACAGTTGGATCTTTCTCGGAAACAAAAACTTCTTGTTCTTTAAACAATGAATCTTGGGAATCATAGATATGTTCATAATGTAGAAGTGTTGAACATTAATACTCTATGTAAGAATGTAAGAATTAAGGTTGAAATCATTATAAGAGATTGTGGATAAGAAATTGAGAATTTGAGATATTGAGAGAGTTGTATTGAACATATCTATGATATGTTTACATGTGAGATTTGCAAAAAAAAAAAAAAAAGAATGCTATCAGGATTCATATGGAAAAATGCCACTTTATTCTCAATTTCAAATATATGAGTCAATAAATTTCAGAGTATATATATACTGCATTACAGCTGGTGTTGAGAGTTTTTACTTTTTACAGAGAAATGAATAAAGTACAACAGAGTGAATTTCTCACTGCACACACTCTCTATATAAGCAAAGTTTAAAACAGAAATATACACTTGCATAGATTGACATACAAAGACCACTTCAGATGAAGGTCAAAAACTTCATTCACATAACAACCAGAGCACCACAACAAAGAGATTTTAAGGAGAGAACTCACAGTTTGTGAGTGGGTTTATCTTCAAATGTTAAATTCGAAGTGTCGTTCTGGCGATCATTTCTACTCATTTTCTCTGAACTGACTGCATCACCGCGGCTCTTTCTTCTTCCCAACTTGGGTGATTTTGCACGAGTTGGCGGGGGCTGTCATTTTCATATGAGGTGATTACATATTGATCAAGTGGTTATTAGTTTTAGAGCTAATACTCCGTACCATATTTGGTCCATTGACTACAAATATTACTCCATCATATCCTTGCATTTGTTTTGGTCCTCAATGATGCAATTTAAAAAGACTATATTCTTCATGCATATTTTGCTCAAAGTTATTTTCATACCTTGAGAACTAAACCAAGTCCATAATACACGGTTGCATTCAAATTGAGTATGAAACTGGTTCTAAATATAGTGAATGAGCAAAAATGCCCTTGTTGATCCAAGGACTAAATTAGATCCAAATTCCATCGAGTCAAATAAAAAGATGAAGATCAATATTGAGTCAAATAAAAACATGACGACTAATATCCAATGACTAAATTAGATCAAGGCTCTCTACTTTCTGAGTAGGGGTAAGATGTGCGTACACGCACCCACTCTAGACCTTACTTTTTGAATGAATTTATTGGGTTTGTTGTTGTTAGTGTATAGTGAAAGGGTGGGTGTTGACTGTTGACTCTTTTGGAGATTCAGGAACATGAACCAGTGAATTGATCAAACATATATAAATACGACATACGCAACACAAATGCATTACCTTCTTTAGTTCAATCTTGGGTGGTGGTCCTTCATGGTAGAAGCTTGGCATGGGGTTTGCCTTAAATGCCAAACTTTTCCTTAGTTGCTTTATAGCTGCTTCAGTTTCTTCCTGAGATTAAAAAGCCACAAAGAAAAACATCATATTCATGTGGTTCATAAGTTCATTACTTCTATATTAAGCCTGTGTTTGTTACCACTTGGAAACCTTGAGAATGAATTTTCATGTGTTTGGCACCACGAAATAATTTTTCCAAAGAAAATATTTTCCACGATCTTTGAACTAATGTGAAAATTGAATTCTTTTGAAAAGAATCGTTTTTCTAAGAGCGTTTGCCCTTTCTATTTTTGTGTGTAAAAACATTTGATCATGTATAGAACAGAGTTTTCTTAAATGGCAGCTTTTTTTCAGCACGAGTGGTTAGAGCTGGTAATCCTAGTAAGATGGAGATGCAGACCAAAATATACCCACCTTTGTTCTTGCCTCCCACTGACTTTTCTCAGTCTCCAGAGCTTGATGTTTCTCTTCCAACTTCAAGTGAAACTGGTCAACAGAATAACATTGAACTAAGAAGAATTTCATGTCCTATAGTAGGTTCAGCCATGTAGCTTTTGAACACACAAGAACGTGGAAAATGACTAACCGACTATTGCTGTTGAATATCCCACATTAGTTCTCTACTTGGTATGAGTTCAGTACTCCCGATTTTTATTATAAAGCTCATTTAAAAACAAGTCATTAGTCCATTTTATAAGGCATTAATGTGTATTATTTATGAAGCATTTTTGTTCATTTTTCAAGGTTTGCCCGTAATAAATATTGCGTTCATGTGACATAATACTTAATAAAAGAAAATGAAGAATCATAATCTTACTTGAGATATCAAGAATATAAACTACTTTCCTTGTTTGTGTGAACTGTAAAGTATAAATTGGTCAACTGATCCCCAGTTAATCCCTGACTAGGTGCTAAACCCCAGCCTGCCGCCTAGTGGGTCCCTAATGATTTTTAGAACATTGACAAAAAATAAGGATGCTATGTTATACCTCCTTTCTTCTCTCTGCACGTTTGGTGCATCTAAATACTGGCACTGGCGCAACATTTGTCTTAGGCCTTCTTGCCAATGTACTGGGTCTTCACAAAGTCAATGAAATTAGTAATTTAAAGAGGAGCAAAATCATGGACTCAAAAAGAAAAAATGTTACTCCGTATAATTTAAGATCACGATGAAAGGGGATATACATAGAAGAAACAGAGCAAGAATCATCATCATCCGGATGCTTCTTGTTGTCAGGCTGCAATGTCTTTCTTGTTGCCACTGGCAAGGCTAACTGCATCCACAAAATAGATTAAGTAAAGTGTCTCCTTAATTAAAAAAATAAAGAATAAACATGTTGTAATTTGTTGAGTATTCCACATTGGCTTGAGTTGAGTATACAAGTGTGACCTCCCGACCTCTTGAGAACTATTTTGGGGTTAAGTGATGCCCATTATAATATGATAACATGGTAGACCCTTCAGGGCATGAGCTGAGATAGTGCATTGAGTCTTTCATATCAGTTGTGTATTGGGTATGAATCTAGTATAGAAGTGTGATTTCAGTATACAAGTGTGAGGTGGATATGACTTCTTGAGTATCCTTTTGGGAAAAGTTAAGCACAATTTAACATAAACTAAGACTGAGCAAAGAGCCAAAGATATGTACCTGATTTTGCTTGGAACCCGCTGGGAGTTGCAAATTGTTTGTCTGAGATATTTCATTCCCAACAAGCCGAGTTCCATTGAAAGCACGCTTTTCAGTTGCCAGAGCAAATGGATGAGGAACTGTGCGCATCGTTTTGTAGTTTCCTGAAACCGGTTTGGTTGCAGCTTTTGTAGAAGTTTTTGATTTCATGTTAATATCCGCATCTTTCTTACCATTGGAGTCAAGATCCTTGATGTCTTCAGCTTTTTTAGATCTAGAGATCGAAATTGACATATCAGCAGTGCACTCCTTCACTTCATAATCTTTTCCTTCAGAAATCTCTGCAGAAACACAGATTTCTCCTTCCACACTGGCATGCTCATGATCCACCTCTTGATTTCTACTCATATCTTGTGAAATACCATTGGGGTCCTTTAGAAATACACTATCAAGTTCCTTGTCCATGAAAATATCAATAACTTCCATCCCCATAGAACTGCACAAAAAAAAAGTATATAAGCATTGCATGAGAAAACATTGGGATCGTTTACCAGAAAGAAAAGTTTTCCAGCTTTCACCGACACATCACACATGAAGTGAAGAAGGATGAACAATTTGATGCTTACAAAAATTAAACAGATGTATGGATCAAGCAAAATCAAAAGGAGCAATAGATGATTAGCAATATAGAGGATGACCAAGCAGAACCATTCAGCTAATCATTATATCAAACACCTTTCCTTCCCTCAAATTGAAGCTTTTGACACTAAGATCAACACACACACAAATAAATCATACGATTTCTTTCAAAAAAAACCGATGTTTGGCTCGACCCAGATACAAAATTATACAGATAGATCACCAAAACGCATGTTCAACAATGGGCAATCACTGATTCTTGGAAACCCATGTTTTTCACTGGTTCTAAAACTGCTAAAATCAAATCATCCGGGAGAAGCCATTGCAGACAGCATAGATCTATGGGTAGATACTCACAATTATTGAAGCTGACTAGTAAATGCCAATTCCAAGAGATGAGTGGAAATGCAGAGATTGGCAGTGTTGGATTCTTGTGGAGTTATGGATGAGAAATCTTCTTGTACATATGCCCGCGGTTATGGGGAGATGTGGAGCCAATGGAGCGTGCATCTCTGCTTCGTCTGTCTCGCTTGCCAATTTATAGCATTAACTTTGCATGGAAAAGAATGTAAAATGGACTATTTGTGACCATCATAATGCTCAATTTAGGGAGTTTTTTAAAGTGATTAACTTTTGGCTTTGAGCAAAGTAATTTTTTCAAAAATTGAAAGCATAGAATGGGATTCTATGTGCAAAATAATGTACCCCACCCCCTCCATTACCACACAAAAAGGCAAGAAACTAAAACAAAATTAAATAAATAAAAATAAAATAAAATTGAATGGTGGAGAAAGGGGTGGGGGACAAATGGGATACACCAAATGGTGTACCCCTAGCATTGTTCTAATTTGACATATCGATCAAACACAGTAAAACAATTATTACACAAAGCAGAATTTAAATTCTTAAAATTACTGATGATTTTTTATACTCCGTATATAAATTCCTAGAATCATTTCAACGAAACAAACGTCATCTACACGTCATTTTTTGAATGTTTCTCTTAAATTCAAACCATAATGTTTTATACTCCCCGTCTCGATTTAATAGTCGATATATGATTCGGTGGAAATTTTCAAAAAACAAAATTGTGCTGTCGAAAGTGACACAGATGAAAGAAAAAAATATGAGCCGCGCAATTTTTACCTCGAATAGAAAAAAGACTTTTTTTGCGACGTCTCAAAATGAAATAAAAGCTGTTATTTTTTAAACTATCATTTTATGATTCAAGGTGGAGATTTGTTAATATGCCTTGAATCTGTATTGTTTGCCGTTACGCAGATAAGAAACGGGGGTCTCGTTGTAATCTCGAACCGCTGTCATAATACAATCCGCCTCCGTTATTGCCTGTGGACGTAGCCAACACAACATTGGTGAACCACGTTAAATCTGTGTGTTTTTACGTTTTTTCTGTTTGCTTCTATTAGTCAATCAGTCTATTCCGTAACAACAAAAATATAATGATTAGGGAGTATATTCCATGCCCACGTACCATGCAAGATTACAGCTAGCAAAATAGTGGTATTAATGGTTTTATATATAGTCTTAATTGATAATACGAACCTAGAGCTATAAGACTATGAGAGGAGAAGTTGAGTTGTCAAATGTCTCAACTAAAACAAGATTAATTAGTGATAGAGACCAATCCTTGCTAGCTCAACAGTCAAGTCCCTCCCTGCTTAAATACATATGACCTCTTTGAGGGTTTGGAAAAGGGAAAAAAAAATCACTTAGAGCTTGTTTGGGAATAGCTTTAGTGATTAGCGTTAGCGTTTTGGATAAAATTTTAAAGGTACAGATTACTTTGAAAACGCTAACGCTAAATGCTGCTCGTAGATAGCCTTTTCAAAACACTAACGCTAATCGCTAACGCTATTCCCAAACAGGCCCTTAATCATTGTTTTCTAAGGGATTATTGTGTGGTATATATTGTTGAGAAAAATATATACACGGTACACAAAATCTATCAAATAAAAGAGTATATATAATCCGTAAAAAAATACCGAGTTTTGTAAAAAAGCACCGAGCAACATAGTACAAAAATACCGAGTTGTGTAAATAAAAACACTGAGTGACAAAGTACAAATTAAAACATCGAGTTATAAAAAGATAAAACTCTTACACTATGGTAGTCGGGGTTTGATCTTGAAATCTTAGATGACTTCGTATTCTGCCCTCATAAGTCATAACCACTCAAATAAACGAGAAAAGTGCACCGTTTACCTCCGAATTCTTTTGAAATTGCACAGTTTACTCCCAAACATTAAAAAGTGCACCAAGTACCCCTGAGTTCTTCAAAAATTGCAAAGTTTACCCCCGAACATTAAAAAGTGCATCAAATACCCCTGAATTCTTTGAAAATTGCACGGTTTGCCACTAAACATTTAAATAAAGACGATAATTTTTGGGAAGGTATTTTGGATAATTTACAATGGCCAGATGAATCATACTCGCAATTTCCATGCGTGGGAGCAACACACTCCCTATCGAGCATTTTAGGACCAATGCAACGTTTTAAATTGTTCAGGCGTATTTAGTGCACTTTTTAATGTTCAAGTGTAAAATGTGCAATTCTTGAAGAGTTTGAGTACAAACGGTGCATTTTTTAATGTTCAAAGGGTAGATCATGCAATTTCATAGAATTTGGGGATAAACACTGCACTTTTTTCTTTGATAAAATAATATAGTCATGTTACCACTAGTTTTAAAGAAATTTTTATATAGTTTTTAAATGTATAATTTTTATATATTTTAATTTTATACCATTTTTCATATAAAATGTTTGAAAATGGTTTTAGTCAAACATCGTAAACCAAAACAATCGATTTAAATTAGGGCAGAGATAGTATTGCAAATATGTTAATTCGAATTATTATAACTATTAGTACAACAACTCTATTTTATTTTGTAATTAATTAATTGATTATCAAAATTAATCTATCCAATTTGATTGAAAATTTATTAAATGAATATTCTAGACCAATATTATTAAATGAATAATCTACAAATAGTTTGATAATTCTTTATATTCTGAATTTTTCTTCATATGTAAAATACTCTTAATTATCGTTGGTTCTAAAGCTTTAATGTTAAAAGTTGCAATAAAAATAATTATTACGTAAATTTAATTCATTCATGCGTCCACCGACAACTTTTAAATCTTATAATAAGTACTTAAAAAAGTGTACAAACTTGAGTATAAATTTTAATGTGTTACTCTTTACATTTCAATTTAAATTGACTATTTCAGTTAACAATATCTAATTGAAGTTATTTTTAATACCAAGTACATTTTATTTGAAAAATAGGATGAAATAAATTAAAAAATAAAATTTAATATTTAAAATATTTTAAAACTAGATCAAAAATTTCTACGAAACAAAAGGTGAAATAATTATATTATTTTATCAAATGAGTAACAAAAATAGAGAGTGAAAGTTAACGATATTCGATCCTGTGAAAAGTAAACAAACAACTTAATTTGGGACGAAAAGAATAAAAATTTACCAAAGAAAATAATATTGATGATTTTCGTGTCATTGACCGACTATTTTGAACAGTTAAAATTTACTATTTTGAATAATTAAAATTTACTTTAGACTCTATTTGAATTTTATCGTCATCATCTTATATTTGCTCCAATAAATGTGTGTTTGTGTACATATAGTTGTCCTCTTTTTTAAGGGAAAAATAGGCAAACCGACCCGAGTTTGTGCGGGTCACCTTAGTTTTAATGCAATTAGCAAAAGTTTTGGTCCCATGGCTTAATTATGTTAATCTCGTGTTAACTGAAACATTTGACAGCCTAACTTCTTTTAGGTTCGCATCAACATACATAATGATCCTTTGCTAGCTGTAACTACGTGTATGGGCATTATGTTACTCCGTATGTACTGCCTAATTATGGGAAAAGCGTTTTCGATTAACGTTAACATTTTTTTATAAAATTTTAACGGGACAGATTAATTTTTTCAAAGGCTAAAGCTAAACACTATCATTAAATAACTTTTTCAAAACAGTAACTCTAATCTCTTACGTTGTTGCCAAGCAGGCCCTTTACTCAGATAGTTAGACCCTCGGCTCAAGTAACACAAATTGCACAGCAAGCACAGAACCACGAAAAAGAAGCTTCATATATACTCCGTAGTTGTTTATATTCTTATTTTCATTTTCTCGATATTAGTTGAACAACAGTGATATGAACGTGTGACAAACTCATTTGAAGGACTTATTTGACATTTCAAAGTCATCTCTTAAAATGAACTTTTTGTAAAAAGTGGACAACTAAATCTACACAGATATGAGCAGAACCTCATATGATAATATTGTTCAAGGCCGCATCAAGCTTGTGGCGACGACAACTTTGCGAGGGTTCAAGGCCGCATCAAGCTTGTAGCGACGACAACTTTGCGAGGGTCAACGCTAACACCTTCACGCCATTTGCGATATCTTCAATGTCGGAAAACTCCTCGGGTTTATGGCTATATCCTGCGCAAGTCCATACAAATATATGTAATATGCCACTAACACATTATATGTAACGGTGAAAATAATTTTGTTGGGATTTATGCATGATATTCAAGAGCCATTAGGCTTTTATTCTGAAAAACTCATTTTCTTGATTCCTCTGATTCTCATCTCAGACTTAGAGCTTGTTCTCTTCGTCTGATCTGATTGAATCTGATCTAGTTTTATTAAGGTTTGATGTAGTCTGATCTGATTGTAGTTATATTTAAACTTGTAATACGAAGAGTGAATTCCCCAAAAGGATACCTTTGTAGCAAGGAATGAATATCATGCCCATTAGAGATACTCTGCAATCAAACATCATAAATCATCATATTTTAGGAGCAGAAATTTTAAAATATCATTCTTTTCCTCTGCCTAATCTCCAAATAAATCATCTAATACCAATTATATGGAGCTAATTGTGTTAGAATGTAGAATTTTTCCTGGACCTAAAACCACAAGCTTGAGCTTTTGGTTGAATTAGTTTCTAAACTCACCCCCACCCAGTTCAAAATTTCAATGTTCACGTGCAAGGATCGAGCAGAAACAAATATTGCTTGCATATGAGGGGACATGTTAAGAGTATAAAATATTTTATGTGCCAACTATCATAAGCTTAAACTTCTGGTTAGGTTGGTTTCTTGACAAATTAGTCATTAACTAACAATATTTTATCTTTGGAAACAATGGACTATAATAAAACATGTGGCTTTTTTTGGTCTCTTCACATACCTGGCCATGAACAAGGAATCATGATAGGCTCTGCTAATCATTTTCTTGTAGTTCAAATTAAGTTGGCGGCATGCTGATTCGGTTGCCATGGTGATTGATTCATCAGATTGGGCGGGCGGATCTTGGTTCACTATCTTGAACTCTGACAGCTTTACGTTACGCTTCTCGGCTATGCTTAAGGCAGACTGATGTATTTTCTCAACAACTTCGTTTCTCCTCTTTTCATCGATGTCACGTGTGTCTGCAACAAGGATTTGAAACTTAATATTCTATACAAAACATGTCAAAAAATCAATTCAACCAAAAATTCAAGCTTGCGGTTGTAGCGTAAGAAAGAGTTTATACTCTAAAACACCCTTTCACGTGTAGTGGAGACTTGTTTTTATTTGAGCCTTGCATGTAAACATTAATTTTTTAAAAATAATGTCAAAAGACTAATTCAAAAGTTTTATAGAGGGAGGGGTAGTTGTAGATGTCCTATGCACCGAATGTGCATCTCTGGTTTGCCTATTAGTTTTTGAGCAATTGAGCCATAAGCCACAAACAAGTTTATACCTGCTGAAAAAAATGTGTATTGCTTATTTTAAACAATTATAGAGTTTGGTATTCACTAACATTTTTCTCATCTACTTCCTCGGTCCCAAAATAATCTCCCTACTTTCTCTTTTGGGTTGTCCCAAAAAAAAACTTTCCATTTCTTAAAAGGAACGGAATAGTCCATATTGATTCTCTCTCCTCCGCATAAATCTCAACCAAACAATTTCAATTTTTCTTTAACTCCGTGAAAAAGCAAACGGGGAGTTTAATTTGGTATGGATGGAGTATTGTTTAGGGTCAATTATGTCTTTTATTAATACAATAAACACTTCAACGGATTTGGTTTGCAAAAGCTTTTAAGCAGAAAATTATACTTAGAAATACAAACAATACACACTTACTTTTACTTAAACTCTTAATAAATCACTTGAGTAGTTGAGGTCATTGCCAATGGAGCTAAACAAGTCATTATTGACAATGTTTTAGTTTAGGCAACATAATGGACTAAATCAAAATGGAACATAAAACTTCCTTCCCTTCTTACTTTTTGTGAAGTTTTGGGTAGTAAATGTAGCAACGCATCTAAGGTCCTATATTAGCGGGTTGTTTTTGTAATCACATACTTCTCCCAGAAAAGCAAAAGCGATTTTTTAAAACACTCATAAATCCTCCGTTATGATGAAATGCTTATATACTACTGAAAGAAGATAATACCTATCTCCAGGTGTGATTTGCTTGGAATGCTGTTTACTGCTCCTGGATGCAGCTCCAGAATACCTTTGTTTTCATCCAAATAAATACAGTAAATAAATTAAATAAAATGAAAATAATGTCAAAAAAATATTAAAGTCTAAGCCAGTTCTCATGCCTCATAGAAAACATGAAAAAAGTACCCACCCACAGTGCCAACTGTGTCCATTGATCCGGATTCCAATACATGTTTCTCCACTGCTAATGCCAACTCAGCCGCAGCCAGTCCAGCATCATTCCTGTCTCCAAGAATTTGCATGCAAAATGATCCAAAGTTTTGGATCAAAGTCTAGAGATTATATATGTGTGTCTGTGTGTGTGTGCGCGCGCGCGCTCGAACTCATTTTATATACGGAGTATTTATTTACTATATTATGGAATATTAATGAGCTCATTCAATAATTTATGTTATATCTTTTCTAAAGAATATACACATGTGTAACATTTTCTTCTTTTAAAAAAATAACATTAAATCATGCGAAGTGTTCCATTTTTGTTTGCATTTTCCAATGAAAAACGGAACATAAGAATAAATGTTCATAGCAATATTTTCCCCTTATTTTCCATGATCCAAACATATCCAACATTTGAATGGAGGGAGTACCTCTTTGGCATAAGGACAGCTCCGGCATGGCCACCATTGCCTTCAAAGTCAACCTTAATACTTGCAGGTGCAGCAATGGCAGTCACAATCCCAATAGGTATAGCTAAATTGAAACATGATCAGGACAAGAAGCTAAAAGATCTAGTCTTGTAGGGTCTGTTTGGATCACATAAAATAACAAAGAAATCGAAGTAATTAAAAAAACGACAATTCTACCTTCCTCTTCTAGAAGTGGACCTTGTTCTATGTGCAGTTCTATAAAAGCGGAATAGCTTCCCTTCTTTAATAAAACATTGGAAAAGTGTAGAGCATTTCTGTAACCAGCAGATTCTGCAGCATCAGAAAATGAAATATTCTGACCATCCACTGTCTTCTTGAGAAGTCCTTCAAGCTCCACACTCCCAGCCATTAACCGGCTGCAAGTTTCATAAGCATAAGAATCTTCAAGGACATGATAAAGAACAATTCATCTCTGATCATTACGGTTGTGAGCATCACGATCTGATTCTAACCTTCCCAAGCAGCTGATCCCAAACCTTGTAGGCTCCTCTGAGGTGAACATGATCACTTCCAGTGACCGTTTGGGCTTGAAGCCAGATCTGAGAAATTGTAACAAGTTCAACTATGTATAAACTGATACAAAATTAGCATATTCCCTGGTTAAAAACATTAAACTGTCTTAAGTTTAGAAGTTCCAAGCAAATCTACAAAAAAAATGTATTCCGTGGTGTAAAATTTGGAGGGTTTTTGCCTGTTCAGCGCATTAAGTGCCTCAATTGCACCTAAGACACCAACCACACCATCATATTTCCCAGAGTATGGTATGGCATCAATATGTGATCCTGTTGCAACTGGAGCCAGCTCCGGTTCATAGCCATTCCTATAGTAACATGATCAAATGTGTATAAATAACTTGTAGAACCATGCTAGAGACACCCCACCTACTCACAGATATTCAAAGACACCCGTTACTACCCATTACTGTCAATGTATGTAGATGCGTGTGTGAGAAGGTTGTGGTGAAAGATGGGGGTGAGAGTTAGGGTGATCCTAGCAAGAGAGGGTCACCCAACCACTACTAAGGAGTAAAAGCTGTTAGGGTATCCTACATTGGGGATTTATCCACATATCACTAATCATATAAGAATACTCTCACACTCCCAAAAAAGCCTCCTCATTTCCTTTTCAGGACGTCTCAAAAAAGACTCTTCTTTCCAGTTTTGGAAAACTTTCTGTAGTTCATAATCTTTTCTCTCATCTGCATCACTTTCAACCACAATTTTACTTTTCTTAAACTTTATGCCAAACCAAATAAGGAACCTTATTTTGGGATGGAGGGAGTATAAAATGCATCGAGTACTTCATAAGTTCATTGCCCGGCTCTTATATGATGTTGGCTTGTTTCGGTTTAATAAAAGTAAACAAAACAAGTGGTGTCAAAATAAATTAAGAAAAATTAAAATTGGGCACGAGTAAAACACTAGGGTCAAACCACACTGGGTCTTATCAAACAATCATCCTTCCTCTAATCAACTGATGTGAGATGCTTTGACATAAACGGATTCGAGGGGAGGGTTAAGAATATTTGTAGGAATGTGAGAAAGTGAAAGTATAACTTACCACCGACCAAAGATGTTACCTACTGCATCCTCTCTTACAGAGAGACCAGAAAGACTCATCAAGCTCTTCACATACCTGCACAATAGAGTGAGAATAATTGATTCAGAAAGGGCATATTAATAATAACTGCCATTTTGGTACAAACTGTTTCATGATTTCTTTTGTTTCATTAAAAAAACACACTATATGCAGTTTTACTTAAGAACTGCATTTCTACTAACTTGTACCATATTATCATGTTAGAAGTTGTTGTTTTACCCAACAAGAGTTACATAGAAGAAGGGAAATGTGCACTTGGATATGTACCTCCTAGCCAATACATCGTTCGCGCTGTACAAGACCCTAGTTACTGAAGGTGCTGGTGAATCTGAGAAAGTTGATAGCTCATCAATCTACAATATCATATTTAAACAAACAAACCAAAGAAACAAAGAAAAATTATCACCTCATTACACTTGAGTGCTCAAAGATAAACACACAACAAATGGAGAGGGGGAACTGAACCTTAGATTTCAATCTTGATATGTGACGGACTTTAATCCACCAGAAATATAAAGAAATATATAGAATAGATTGTAGATAATTATGGAAAGATAAAGCTATATGAACCCGTCGTATATTGATATTTTGACCCCTTCCCCAAGAAGACAAGGAGTATCAATATCCACTTCCCTAGGAGGAATAAGTGGATCGCGGATTATGGTAATGTTTATTGGAGATCCCTCTTGTCCCCTAACCTTAGTGTCTTCATTTCCTCCACACTTCGACAAATTTAGACCCTCACTACCTGGTTGGGTCAGCCTGAGTGCACGACTCATTTCGCATGAGTCGGGCCCCTTACCAATTATGTTGGCTTTGGTGGTCTGAGTCTACATACAATACTCCCTCAGTCCAAAAAAAATTATTCTCACTTTTCCTTTTGGTTTCTCTATAAAATTTCTTCCCATTTCCTTTTACGTCAAAGAAGTTCGTCTAAAACGTCAAATTTACCCTTCACTTTTTAATGTTTAGCCATCAAATTATCACTTTTCATCTACACCATTCACTTTATTTAACACTATTCATCCAAGTGTAAACGTGGATAGTCAATGGTTTTTTCATCTCTCCTTAATATGTGTGCCGGGTCAAAGCGAGAAGAAAATTCTTGGACGGGTAGTATTATTTATGGAATAACTTCTTGCTCTTCATTCACAATAGTTTTTTTTTACTATTTATTTAACTTCTCCATATAAATCATTGGATCCTTCTTGCTCCTCTTTTATCAATCAAACTAAAATAAATTTCAAAAAAAGCAGTTTTTCAGTGAAGTGTGTAAAGCCAGAGCAATTAATGATACCACCAATCAGGCAATCCAGGGTGTAATAGAACACCAAAAAACTTATCTTTTTTCAATCAGGAATTTCATCAAACACTTAATATGATAGTAAGTCGGGAGTAAAGATTCAGTCGTTAGGATGAATGAATTAATTCATGAAATAGAACCGGAGGAGTGAAAAACGTGCCTGTTTCTGCAGAGAGTGAGTGTCCACTGATAAAGAAGAAACTGAGGTGGGATAATTGGGCTCGTGGATTGAGTACCCGGAGAAGTCCTCCATGGTCTTCACGGTGGAATCTTTTTCTCCATCTCTGTGAGCAGAAATTCCACCGGGGCCGGAGACGGAGAGGATTAAAAAGAACAGAGAGAATCTCGCCGGAATATTCATATGATTGGATTGGCAACTACGGTGTATGATTGGAGTTGCAAGCTTGCAAAAAGTCTTTCTGGACTTTGATGGAATGAAAAGGAGGAACTGGTAGAACTTCAGTTCAGCGGCATGACTTGCAACCCTCTGTATTAGGATTATACGAGTAGATAGATAGGATTCACTGTAGCCTCCTTATAGAAGGCTTATGGAATATGAACTTTCTGTTTTGGTAATTTCTATATATTTTATTTCTATATAGAATGATTTTTTTTTATATTATAACTAAATATACTTTTTTCATAATTCGTGATCAAAAGGTGCTACACTTTGATATAAAAAAAGTCAAATTATGATTATTCTTTTAAACACGAAAAAAGTAATTTTGTAAATAGAACACCAAAAGTATCCCTAAATGAGTGAGGCGCTGTTTGTTTCAGCCTCTTAATGGTTCAGATGTCTGAATGGTTCATCACTTAATGGTTCAGACTGTTTGTTTCAGCTTCTTAATGGTTCAGATGTCTGAATGGTTAAGAGATTTGCTTCTGAATGGTTAAGTATTATACAGAGTCTGAATGGTTAAGACCTCTTATCTGAATTGATCAGACATTTGCCTCTGAATAGTTAAGCAATATACTAGCTCTTAATGGTTCAGACCTCTTACTGATTCAGCACTTAATGGTTCAGACCTCTTACTGGTTCAGCTCGGCGTTGACACTAGATTCCTTTGTGTTTGTAACTCAACCAACTCATATAAGAAATTTGTTTATTTCTTCATAGTTCGTACTGTAGAGCTTAGAGAGTAATTCAAAAATTCAAGTGTGAAAGGATTAAGGCGCCAGTGGCAATGGAACCGGAGAGTAGCCGGCACACTTGCCTGAAGCTGGAAATTACGAGCAGCGGCGCGGTGGATCTGGAACGCATCTTCGTCAAAGGCACCTGGTTCACCTCCCATTTCGACCTCTCCATCTCCAATGGCCTTGACGCCTGGATTTGCAGCGGTAAGGGAAAAAAATATAAACTTTCCATTCAACTGTCATCTACTTTGCTTGCTTGATTTTCATCACTGAAATTAAATATCCGAAGCTTCGGAGGAAGAGGTTGAAGAGAGAGCTTCTCAATGGGACCAGCCGGTTTCAGAATACATCGAAATGGCGGAGAAATACCTAGGGTTTCAACAGCCCGGTTCGGTCTACGGGTTCTCTGATGCAGGTGCTGGCCACAGAAGAGTACGCCCCCCCCCCCCCTTAACCCTTCTTAATATTTGATGCACATTGAATTTGTTTTGTATTTGAGAAAAAAAATGGATTGGGTGTTTGCAATTTATTTGGATAGTACCAATTTCATATAGAGTTCCCTGAGTGAGCATTTACCTCTTGGCAATAGTTGGCATATGCTTTGCTGAAACAAATGTAACCGAACGCCTTTCCTTTCAGAAAAAAAACCAGCAGATTCTGCCATTTAGCCAAGTAACTGTTTCCAAACGACCCCAGTTCTATATGTTGTGATTGTTCAACAGTTATTTTTGTTAGTAGAGGGGAAAAATTAATGTGGTATGCGTGCAGACAATAGGTTTTGTGAAGTACGGAGTATAAACGTAAGCTAGTTTCTTTGTTCTTGATACATATAGTTGTCATGGACTTTTGAGAAAGAAGGAACAAAGCTGGAGTGGCGGTGGAAATGCCAACCATCACCTGATACTAAGAAAACTACAGCCGACATCTTGGATTTTCTCATGGATTCAAACATACAACTCAGTGTAAGACCTAACACCGCCCTACTTTTATTTATTTATATATTTATTATTGTACTCCCTCCGTCCTAAAACTTTCTTCCCAGAGCACTATTCCAACTTCACGGGAATTTATATTTATTTGTGTTTTTTCATGACCTATATGATAAAATAAAATATTCTTGTCACCACTTGTTTTGTTGAACTTTTGATGTAGTTTTTAAATATGTATGTTTTATTTTTTATTTCTATACCAATATTTAAATAAAATAGATTGAAAAAACTTGGGATTTTTCTTCGTTTTGCGAACCGGGAAGAAAGTTTTAGGACGGAGGGAGTATGAAGTTTCCTCTCTTGGAAACAACCTCTCTACTTCCGAGCAGGTGTATGTGGGATTTTACCGTGTTTGTTGTTGTTGTAGAATAGTGTATGAAGTTTCCTTAGTTGATACGGAGTACTACAGAAATTATTTTGCTTGTATGTGTGTGTAAACTACTAAACTTGCTTAAGCTAGTACTCCATGTCTCAAATACTAGAATCTTTTTCTTCAAACCTAATATTTTAAAGGAGTGTTTGGAACTTGTAATATGTTGGGGAATGAAAACCAGGATTGTTTTTAAGGAAAAAAAATATGGGGAATGCTAAGGCACTGGTTCAAACACAATAAAATTTTATTTAATAATTGTTCAAGTTCATTTTATTATCTGTCTCTTTTAAATATAGACAGAAATTAGAACATTTACGACAAAAAGAGTCGATAGTTTTCAATCATGTTTCACTTCCCCTTTACATCTTATGAGGTAAAACCAAACATGAGAAAGCAACTTTCTTTACCGTATATGCTTCCTTTATTTTGCATTTTTTGGGATCCAAACATTCCTTATAACTTTAAAAAAATGTTATGTTGTTCTGCATTGTTCCAAGACTGGGAAAAGGGTAAATTACCCAAAGTTCATTCTTCCAAGGTTGTGTAAATGACAAGAAGGAAAGCTGATAGATTTTCTTTACTTTGGTAATAATAGTCAAATCAAATTTTTTGTTAGAGATATACTCGTATATTACGTCTTGTTCTTTTCCCCTGAAATTCAAATCACAGAAACTGTGTATTTCATATATGTTCTTTATTTGTTATGATCTAAATAGGAGGAAGTTCTGAGCAAGACACAGGCTTTTGAAAAAGTGGAATCTGAAGCTGAAAAATGTTTAGCTCAAAGTGAGAGACTTGCCATAGAGAAGGAAGAATTTGAAGCCGGATTATATACAAAGGTTTGTGTAACTCTACTTCAATGGGGTTTCACGGGTTTGCACACGTTGTCTTGTCTTTCTAGACCAAGTCCCACCATAAGCCCGCCGCACCTTTAAAACAAATTTCTTTTCGGTTTCATGGTTTAGTGTATGCCCAATGACCTGACCCGTAGCCATGATAGTGGGGCATCCTATGAAAAACACAAACCAGTAGATGCATATGAAATTTGGTTCATTAAACAACCAGCAATTCTTAGCTTGGTTCTGAATAGATATCTCTTACTCTCCCTGTTTGTTCCCAGTTTCTTGGAGTGTTGAATTCGAAAAAAGCAAAGCTAAGAGAGCTGCGCGATAGACTTCCAAATGAAGCGACTGGTAATAAGCGAGTGCAAGAAGAGGAGGAAGAAGGGTCGAGTGACAGAACCCAGACGTCTGACGAGGAATAACAGAGTAAGAAGTACAAACTAAATTTTCAGAGCTGTAAAATTAGAATAGAGCTATTTTGACACCAAGAGCCAGAGCTATAATACGACACTGGTCCATTTGAGTTTTGTTCGATATCAGAGTGGTTTTTATCCTCCCATTTGGGTGACAATCCATTACCAAGTACATAAATTTTTATCACTTTCTGTTGATTTCAAAATAAAATTTCACACTTCTTACACATTGGGGTATGATGTTTTAGAAAAATTGTGGTTCACAACATTCCTCCCCTCTAAACAAATTTCAATCATAATTTTTTTAAAAAAAAATATTAAATTTTGTTGGGTGGAAGTATAAATTTAGGTGAGGAGTATTAACGTCAAACCATGAGTTGAAAAGTTTCTTCGACTTTAATATTTTGACCAAGTCAAAAAGTTAAAATTTGTCAAAAATCATGTACGAGTAACTCTGAGCCAAAGTGTCATTTACAAAATAATTAAAAATTGTATTCCTACTTACGGGACATAACATTATCATTTTCGTTTCATTTCAATACAATTTTTTTTGAAAACATTTCTATAAATTTTTAATTAAACTTATAACAATATATTACCATACTTAAGTTCAATCACTTCAGTTTAATTTAGTTTTCTATATGTAAATGACCGTTCATCCTATCAACCAACCAATGAATCAATCAGAACTCTATATTAATCCATAAAACGTGTTGTTGACTTTAATCAGCAGTAGACAAGGTCAAAGTCCCTCAAACGGGTGGTTGTAAATAAATGTGCATGATGAATGCATGTCAAAATTATAACAATATAATCCGTAATTAAATTTTAAATTCATGCATATTATATAATTCTTGGGTTATAAAAAATGATATAATCTTTTTAAATTTTAATTGAGCAATGCTTGAGTCACGCAAAAATGAAATGTTTAAATATGTGAGCTAGGTCATATAAATTTTATGGCTCTAATGCACAGTACACTTTTGGCCTTGTTTTAAAACAACAATTTTAGTTTGCATTAATGCCTTGTATCATTTTTAATGATGCATATTAATTTTGAAAATGTTAAATCTAAACTTTGAGATTAGATAGTCTTCATACAATGATAAAGCTAAATGCTGAAATTGTTACCAAAAAGATTTCTTGATTGTTTCTGATTATGACACAAATATTTTCTGACGTTTGCAAAGCAGATGTAAGTCTAAATATCCATATTTCGGCGTTTTGAGTATGTTATATACTCCTTCCGCCTTGTAATAATGTCCCACAATGTATTTTTCGTCTGTCCCTAAATAAGGTTTCATTTCCCATGTTAGACGAACTATCAATGGCTTACATCATTTTCTTCTTCTCTCCACCACTTCCAATCACACAAATTTACTTTTCTTAATTTACATGGCTGATCAAATGTGGAACATTAAAATAAATTGGAGGAAGTAATATATTTTTACGTTATGTTTGGTACGTGTAATTCCAAAGGAAGACAATAAAAATGTTTTCTCTTCTTTTACTCACCAAAATATAAGAAATGTTGTTTTTCTATTCTTATTTCTTAGTTAATTTCTTTCTCTAGTTTCTCTTCTTTAAACTTTTAATTTTCATTTTTAATCAAACAAGAAAAAATATTTTTTTTCTCATTTCTTACAAATTTTTTGAACCAAACGTAGTACTCCGTATTAAAGTTTATATTTCTCTAATTAAAAAATAATCCAAACGCTAAAATTAATTAAATGACGGGCACCATCCCCGAAGGTACATTCAGACCCACCAGACGGTTACTGAGATGAGATAAATTAGACTTTGATCGCAAATTAGTAACATAAAATAAAGCATGCATCTGTTATTTACTTGGTCCGTCCCTGAGTGTTTGTCCACTTTTGACTTTTGGAACTGTTCATCTAAACACTTTGACTTATCAAATTCTCTCAATGTGTAAGCCTAAAAATAGTCATGTGTGATCTTATTTGATTCGTCTTAACATATAGATTATTAATATATAATTTTTATAATTTTTTAATATACAAATTACAAGATAAAACAGATTAAAGAAGTGCATTGGATGGTGTGCAAAAATGAAAGTGGACAAACACTCAGGGACGGAGGAAGTACTTATTTACACAGACCATATGTTTAGCATAGTTGCCTTATCGAAATTAATTTGCCAAAGTTAATTAAAAACATTGTTCTCATGGTACTTTTTCTGTTAATTGATTTTTTTTGCGGAGTACTATTCTTTGCAAAAGAACTCATATATATTTTCCCTCTCTTCCCTGCACAATTTTTTATGTTTATTTCTATTTCAAATTCGGTTCATCCTCATCTTCAACCTGAAAATTCCCTCTTTTTTTTTCAATTAAAAAAATGACATCCTCCATATATACTCCCCCTGTTCTTTTTGTTTTTCTGGCGATTTTCAATGGCCTCACAGCCGCCCAAATATGTTCTCAGACCGCCGGAAACTTCACGGCCAACGGCACCTACGCCGGGAACCGAGCTCGCCTCTTCTCTTCCTTCTCCTCCAACCTCTCCTCAACCTATGGCTTCTTCATGAACACCACAGTCGGCCATGGCGCCGACAAAATTTACGGATCTGCCCTTTGCAGGGCCGATTCGACCCGCGAGACCTGCAACAAGTGCGTCAATACTGGAATCAAACAGCTCACAGACCGTTGCCCCAACCAAATCGAAGCAATCAATTGGGCGTGGGAGAGCTCCTTCCCGTGCATCGTTAGGTATTCGAACAGTTCCTTTATCGGGAAATTGGAGCTCTCTCCTAGGCCGCCGATACTGTTCAATACCGGCGAATTCGCATCGGGCGAGTTGGAACGATTCGAATCAGTCTGGGAAAATCACACGACGACCTTAATAGCCATGGCTTCCGCGGGGACGAAGATCAAGTATGCTTCTGGAGATGCGAATTTGAAGAGTTTCGAGAAGATTTACGCTACGGTTCAGTGCACTCCAGATCTATCCCGCTCCGATTGCGATTATTGTTTGGCGCAGATTGTGACCGCGTTTAATAGTTGTTGCATTAAGAACAAAGGAGGGTATTCTCATAATCCGAACTGTATATTTCGTTGGGATATGTATCCGTTTTATAATTCCTTCACCGATTTCGCTCCGCCCCCGGCGAATCCCCCGGCGACTCTGCTTTCTCCTCCGCCGGCCAATACGACTGATTCCGGAAGTAGGATGCCGATCTGCACTTTGTGTTTGCTTTTATGTCTATTCTATTAATCCGATCTAACGAATTCGGTATCCGCAGATGGGAGGATCAGTTCTCGGACTGTTTTGCTTATCGCGGTACCTCTTGCAGTTGCTTTCTCGGCGGCCGTTGCGGTCGTCGTCATTTTCCGGCGGATGAAGCAAAGGTCCTATTTCCGTAGTAGGTTGGTTGCGGAGGAAAGAAGCAATAGCAGTCGCCGGGCAGAGTGCATGCAGTTCAACCTCGCCGCCATCAGAATCGCAACCAACAACTTCTCCGATCTCAACAAGCTCGGAGAAGGTGGATTCGGCCCTGTTTACAAGGTACTACTACTTCCGGTACTCTTTTTGGCCACCTAGTTGAAGCGGTCTTCTGGTTTGGAAAATGGACGATGCTACAATTACACCGAAAATATCCCATTTATACACCGCAGTTATACACAAACATTTGATGGTTTACACCGACACAAATGTTGGTGCGTTAACAAAAATTTACACAGACACAAAATGTTGATGCGTTAACAAAAATTAGTTTTACACCAATACAAAATGTTGGTGCAAACCTACAGGGTAAAAAGTGGAGTAAAAGTAGCTTTGTCCTTGGAAAATTCATATAGTCATATAGCCATATAGGTACCTCATTTATTTTTGAAAGTCTAAAACTTAGAAAATTGATATAGTCATATACAGAGTAGGTTATTTTTTGAAGCGGTCTTCCTTTATTTTTTGGTTATTTTCCTTTTTTAAGTTTTTCATCTCTTTGTTTCCTTTTGAAATTTCTTTTCTAATTTTGTATAATGTTTTTAAAAATAGAAAAATATTCTAAAAAATACAAAATTTTTTGCGTTGGTATAATAATAAAAAAATGAAAAAAATTTAACATGTCCTCCATCCATCTTCAAGTAAACATTCTCAATTTTTTGTTTTCTAGATTTTAAAAAAATTTAGGAAGTTAAATAAGAAATTCAGGAATAAAAATAAAAATATCAAAAAACGAAATGAAAAAAAATCAAACATACATAAAGGAATTTTCGGAACATCAAAAACATTCTTAGGATTGGATGTGCAAAAAGGGTATTCATTTTCCTCATTTTTTGAAGTTCCCAAAAACAAGTTTATTTTTATTTATTTGGAAAAAAAATTAATTTGAGACGTATAGGTGGAGTATATGTTAATTATTACCTTCGTCCCAGAGTATTTTTCCACTTTCATTTTTGCACACCATCCAATATACTTCTTTAATCCATTTTATCTTGTAATTTGTATATTAAAAAATTATAGAAATTATATATTAATAATCTATATGTTAAGACAAATCAAACAAGATCACATATGACTATATTTAGGCTTACACATTGAGAGAATTTGATGAGTCAAAGTGCTTAGATGAACAGTTCCAAAAGTCAAAAGTAGACGAATATAGTGGGACGGAGGGAGTATTTTTTATATCAAACAAAAACAATTTTAAATTTTTAAGAACATTATAAAAAACAATTTTGTAAAGAAATTACAAAACCTTCATAGATAAAAAAAGGAAAAATAAATGAAAAATGAGAATTGAGGACAGGTGCCCCTACGATTTAGAAAATATGCACCAATGCCCTCCTGTTCGCCGGGAAAATGGCCAAATAGTTGTCGTGCTCTTTCGATTTGGAAAATTGATATAGGTACCTCCTATATTTTTAAAAGTCTTAAATCTCGTGGTTTCAAGCGTACTACCCACACTTCCTCTGATTATATTCTGGTCATTTTCAAGCAAAGAGGGGGCATCGTTACCTATTTTCCAAACCACAAGGAACAACAAAACTCATTTCTCAAGTTTTGTTTTTTTTTGTTATTTTCCTTTTATAAAACTTTTTTTGATCTCTTTGTTTCCTTTTGATTTTTTTGAAATTTATTTTCTAATTTAATTATAATGTTTTAAAAAATACAATTTTTTTTGTGTTTGATATAAAAATAAAAAAGGAAAAAAATTAACATGTACCTTA